CTTCTGAGGGAAGCTGGAGAGACCCTTCAGAGCCAAACTTCCCACAACCTGAGCGATGCTCAGTCCAGAAACCCAACAGTCAGCGCAAGCTTTAGCAGCAGCGGCTGCATGACCGCAGCTTTGCTCTGGTTTTGGAGAGCTACCTGAGGCAATCTCAACCTCCTTCTCCCCTAAATGTGGTTGTTCAGCCAGAAGAAAGCACATTACAGAATCACAGAATCACAGAATGGTCAGGGTTGGAAGGGACCTCTGTGGGTCATCTAGTCCAAAGCCCCTGACGAAGCAGGATCACCCAGAGCAGGCTGCACAGGACGGCGTCCAGGCAGGGCTTGAATATCTCCAGAGAAGGAGACTCCACAACCTCCTTGGGCAGCCCGTTCCAGTGCTCCGTCACCATTACTGCATCCCTCAAAGGAAAAGCACTTTGCCTGATGTTCTGCAATGCCTGGCAGCGAGGGGCTGCTCATGCTCAAGGTGGATTTGGTATCCACTAGGAACGCAACGTTTTCTGTACACGGGGAGGGAGCTCACGGCGCAAGGGCAGGCAGTGGACCGGCTGCGTAGACGCGCTGGAGTCCAGCGAATCGTACAGCGGGTTGCCAAGGGGTAAACTGGAGAAGCTGCCAAAAGGAGCATCCTTGAAACTCAACACTCCCCGCAAACATGAAGTGATAACCGTAACACCCCTACGGCAGGCAGGAATCGCACCCTTCTTAGGCTGAAGAAATCAGAGCCAACAATTCCTGGAGCTCAGCTGGGAGCGAGTCTCCTCTCCAACAGCACCAAGGTGGCTTAATAGGATCAAGGGATGTGGAGCGGCATCCGAGTTGGTGCTTGCAAGTCACTCAAGCTGCCGACATATGGTGCTGCTTTCACAGGGGTCTGGGGCTGAGCCTGAACAGATGTACGCTGGCAGAGAAACCGCTCATGGTCGTGAGGCCAAGAAATCCAGTAGCAAGCAAAGAGCAGGCTATTTTTAGACGCTGCTGGAGAGCGGCCAAGCCCACGGGGTTTAGGGCAGACAGAGGTAAAGGAAGGGAATATGGTCCATGTTTGGAGAGGAGGGTGGGAAGAGAAGTCTGACTATATAAACCCCACTGTACAATTACGGGAGCAATGCTGTCAGCCCTGAGGATAAACATTTCTGGACAAATGTTCATAAACTTTCCCTCAAAGCCTAACATAGGCTACAAGTTCAGTCTGAGAGACCGGTAAATCTTTCCCCACGGCAGTGACAGGACAGTGCTGCAGTGACAAAAGGCAACCGCCGGTCTTGCCCTGTTCAGTGCTCACATCTGTAAAATGGGATAATCATAGAATCATAGAATCATAGGTTGGAAAAGACCTCTAAGATCATCAAGTCCAACCATTCACCCAACACAGAATCACAGAATCACAGAACGTTCGGGGTTGGAAGGGACCTCTGTGGGTCATCTACTCCAACCCCCCTGCCAAAGCAGGGTCTCCCAGAGCAGGCTGCACAGGACCGCGTCCAGTCGGGTCTTGAATATCTCCAGAGAAGGAGACTCCACAACTTCTCATTTGTATTAGCATTTGTATTAGCATAGCACTTATCTCCTGCCACGGTTCCTGCTTGCCCTACCTGGTCACAAAAATGTCTTGAACCCTTAACAGTACGAAGGTCCTGCTAATTAAGTGAGTGAAGTTGCTATTTGGAAACAATGAGTATGAGTTTTCCAACAGCAAGTGGTTCCAGCTAACATGCCATCAATTCAATTCAGGCTTTATTTAAGGAATTAGGTACCCAGATACCATTTTAATTTTTAATGTTTGGGGTTTTTTTAGTTAGACCCCCAGATTATATTTTCCTTCATCTAGCTACTGCTCTTTGCTTCTTAAAATACTGACCTTTAGGGGTATACACTTAACCGAGGAGACCAGCCTGACTGTAGAGGTGCTAACACAATTTGCATTAACTAACAACCAGAGCATCTGTGTAATTAATACAGGATTAGTAGTTCAAAGCATTAGAAATGCTCTACCCTAATAAAAACTGGCCCAGGCTGAGGATAGCAATCAACTGCACAGAAGAGCCGGTTCAGCTGTTGGATATGCCGCAGCGTAGCCCAAAAACACCAGGCAGCAGAGGAGCACTTGAAGGTAGGGACTGTTAAAGACACTAGGACACAGCAGAGAGATGAGACGAATTTTTCTCAGAAACAAGGACTAATTTGGGTACTCACACAATGTTAAGGCACTTAAAAATAACTAAGTCACTTGACACCACGGTATTGTGGAAGGCAAATTTGGGGATGCATTAATTTCCTCTCCATCTTTTAGACACCTTATGCCTAACATTTCAATATAATCATCCACGCTCCAGAGCGACAGAATATCAAGATCTGGAACAATCTCAGACTTCATAGTTAAGTAGACATAACTTATTCCGGGCTTGTTTTGCAGAGCCTGAGGATCTGTAACTCCCCAGGGGCTTCAGCTGGCATCACAGGTGCTCAGCTTACATTCAAGCTCCCTCTTTACATCTGCCCCCGATTTTGGCACACGGTCACAACGCAATGTCTTCGGTAAGGGATCTCAAAATGGGAATGTCAAACCATTTCAGCTTATTAAGATTTTGAGAAATCAACACAGCAAGCCCTGGAATTTATGGGGTTTTTTTTTTACAGAAAGGACGTACTTAATTTTTCCAAGATCTCTTCATCTGACATTTTTGGCTTTTTCTTTTGTTTCTCCGCGTTCTTGACCAGCATATCAGGTGCTGTTGTGCTGTTTTCCGAGGGAGAAGAAATAGGAGAGGTCGCCACATCTCTGGTAGGAGGAGGAAGGGGGTCTATCACAGAACGGGTGTATATCTAATTTTGTCGAGAAAAAAAATATATATTAATACAAATCAGATTAAGACAATTCTATTCCTCATTATTGTTCTTGTTGTTGCCAGGGATGCATTTCTACAGCTACTTTGTTAACAGCTAACATCGTTAAGTGAGGACTCTCTCAGCCCTCCCCTAACTAGGCAGGTGATCACATGAAGGTGCTCCTGCAGAAGGAATGGCTCCCACCTCCTCCTTAGCAGGGCTCAGCACCACGCCACGCAGCGTGGACGAGGAGCCACGGTCAAAACTGGACCGTGACCATGGAAGCAGCAGCTGAAGGAAGTGTTTCTGCTCACAGATTTTGTGTGCTCGGGTCGCGGAGCTATCACGGGGGGTGGAGCCGCGTCGTCTTCATCATCTTCATCTTCAGACACTGAGGGCACTGCAGGGGTCTCAGAGACAGCCTTCACATTCTGCCAGTAGTTACACAAACAGAAAAATAAAAACCCACTCGCTTGTTACGAACAGAATCAGAAACAGTCGATTAAGCTCCTAACAGAGACTGCGTCGAAGCAAGTGCAGAAAAATAACAATCAGAACAGGCTAGCAAGTTACAGTATCTGAAAAATTTGAACCCTGAAGATCCTGAGCCTTCGTGGGAATTGGAGGGGCAGCCCCTCACCGCCCGCCGCAACCGTAACAGACAGAGCTTGCCCTCTCCCGCAGGAATTCCCTTCCCTCCTTCCCAAGGACGTGCGACCCAGCCGGGCGCGCTCCCTGCCTTCCCGACAGCCGCACGGCAGAGCCCACGATGCTGGGGGCAACGTCTGGGTTTGGAAATATCTGTCTCTGTTTATGCTGCCTCTTTTTTTTTTTGAATGCTTGCTTCAAACTCCGATCATGCCGATTGGAGATTTCAGTCCTTAAATGTTTTAATTTGCATCAAAATCTGAATGGTTTCTCTAAAAGTTGGGAGGTCAGGTTAACATCAGCCTTGTTACTGTGACTGAGAACTAAGCAATCAAGAACTAAGTAATCAGAGATTTTGGAAGCAGAATCTGGTAAAATCTTTTCAAATCTCCTTTAAAATTTTATGAAAAGCAGGAACAATTATTTAAAAAAAAATTTATAAGTGGTTAAAAGAATGTATCTGGAATTTTTTGCAATAGATTAGAAATCACAGCCACTTTCAACCTTTTAAATTTGAAACTGGATTTTAAGTTCCTGGCGTCCCTTACACTATAAACATTTCAAAAGAAACTTGGCGAGATCGTCAACCCACTAGACCAGTTCTGCTTGTGCATCATCAGTTCCCTAAGAGAGGCAGGGAGGAAAGTGTTAAAATATTGTTCTCTCTGAAAGAGGGGAAAACAATGTAATATTTCACTGGACTTAAAATACTTCAAGACACCATCATCCTGACATAGCATCGCGAAAGTGCACTTGACAGAGCACAGGAGCTCAGCCTGTTTAAAGCTACAAGAAGACACACCTACGTACTGGGAATTTCCTGAATATCCCCAGAATTAAAGGTTACCCAGTGTCCTCCAAAAACATCAGGCTATCTCAGTAGACTGGTAACTGCTGCTTTTTTCAGGATGTACTTCAAAATCCGAGAGCCTCAGCTATTCGAAGCTCCTGAGGACTTACGTACAATGACATGCACCAATGAACAACATCAGAAACATTCTCCTTTTCACAGAAAGTCCTAAGCGGTCAGATCTGGATATGCTGCCTCCGGAAAGGAGCAGAAGCAGCCCACTCTAGACAGTGGCACAGCGGTGAGGAGACAAGAGATGAGGGAATCGTGGGGTTTTATGAATCGTCTTCAACTGAAAGTTTTGTTTCTGACATCTCACACACACATACAGAAACATTAGGGAGTTTTCAGCTCCTGCCTCCTAACAAAGCAAATGGGAGTGATACCTGCCCTGGCAAGGACAGAGTAAAGGGCACGTAGAGAGGACGAGAACCTTTTATTTCCTTTTCTGCTGGAGATTAGTTTGGTTAATCAACATTAATCTACATTAGTTTTGGTCAATCAGACCTTGCAGGTTACTAATTAAGCTTTGTTAGATCACAGATGTTTATAGATGTTTATACATATAAAACCTGGAAGCAGAGTGGTTATCAAATTCTAGGTACAGGAACAGATCATTTTGTATGAAAACAAAAGTATTTCTATTCTTTTATTCCCTAATTTCTACTCATTACATCACTATTTACTAACAAAAGTCTCTTCTGTCTGCTTGATTCTCCTCTGAGTTGGGGGGAAAAAAAAAAAAGAGCAGAACGACTTTTCAGGATAATTTGCCTGTTTTTATAAACACATATTCACTATATAAATATACATTGTTTAGATTTTAAAACACTAAGCAAACTAAAAGTTTACATGTAGCTAACACTACTTTGTGTAAGTTTTTAAATCCCCATATTTGAGACAGAACGCGCACACCAGTCTTACCAAGGTATTTGATGAATTGTAATCCTCCGTCAACTTATCTGCAAGAGACAGACAGTGATGCCGTTACAAACCAGGGGGAAACGCAGCCGCCACGGGGAGCGGAGGAAGGGACAAGCTCCCTTGGGAAGGGGTAGGAAAAAAGGCTGATTCTAAATCCAGGCATTACCTGCAGCTTAACAAGGTGACACCTGGCAGGTATGGGAATAGCGGGTAAAAAATTCTGCAGACAAATGCAGGGCCCCCAAAGCCCTGGTGTCGGAGGGAGGAATTTCCCAGAGCAACACCTGAATGAATATTGTCCTTCATCCATAGACACAAAATATTTTCGACGGGCTAAATCAGCAGCAGAGGCACCGCAGTCAGCCCAAGACCTGCACGATGTTCAGTCCCAGCCACCTACACCTCCTGGCACAGCCACAAGGACCCCGCGAGTCATCTGGTGGGCTTCTTGTCTGACTGTCCAGGCACATATGGAGAAGATTTGTGCTTTTATCCCTGCCTGGAGCCTTCCTAGTTAATACCAGTTTTGGTGACATGGCTCTGCCCTCTTAAAAGAAGGAAAGCAGGGTTTAATGTTCAGAAAGGGAAGGAGTTAGAGCTGAAAGGGAAAAGGAGCAGTAGTTGTAGGAGTCCTCCAGTAGGCAGGCAATCCATGCAAAGAAGGCACAAAACCTTGTCACCTTAGATTTTTAGAGAAGCCCAGTCAGCAGTTACCAAGCAACCCAGCAGCTGAGGCGTATTCCTCGATCACAGCACTCGGGAGCGGAGACACCCTCACCCCAAGCACACACAAAGCAACATCCACATCCGCGCTGGGAACCGAAACTGGTGCAAAGTTTAGCTGCCTGTTCTCTCCGGGAATCTTCATCACTGTGATCCCAGCACCAACACTCTGGGATCTGCCTTCCAGGTGCTGGGTGTGAGCTTCAGAAAACTTCTGTGTTTTGGGGATTTAGCCAGTTGACTGACCTCCTCTTTTGCAGCTATGCTGGGCATCAGGATTAACTGAATGGCATTTTTAAATCATAGAATCGTAGGTTGGAAAAGACCTCTGAGATCATTGAATTCAATTTTAAAGGAAGAGGGATGCTTGAGAATCTCATTCACATTTTCCAGACCTACTTGTTGATAAAAGAAAGAAACCCCACATGCAGACACCAATGGAAAGTTGGACAAAGCAGCCGTACAACACAATCGCCACGTACCTGTGAAACTCATGTACTTCTGGCTGTTGGAGATCTTCTTGGAGTTGTAAAACTCCAACACGTCCAGCACCGCCTGGGGGTTCTTCTTCTGCTCGGACTTGGTGATATTGGAAGTCTGCAGTAAACGCGCCCACTGCTCCGGCATTCCCTGTGGGGAGATGGACCCTGTCAGCCCACGGGCAGTCTAAGGTGGCTCACCGCAGCAGTTCTGCCACCACACAGTTTCTGGAGTTAGTCAGCGCTGTGAGGGAAACAGGGAGAAAAGAGGAAAGGAGAGGAAAGGCAAAGAGGCGGTGGATCGACACCTTCCTAGCCACTGTCTGTGTTACAAGTCACACGTTCCTTACGTGGACATGCAAATGGCAGTCCTCTAACGGGGCTCTGAAGAACAAAACTCAAAAGACAGAAAGGAGCAGATCTGAGAAGCTCAACATGAGCCGGCAATGTGCGCTTGCAGCCCAGAAAGCCAACCGTACCCTGGGCTGCAGCAAGAGCAGCGTGGCCAGCAGGGCGAGGGCGGGGATTCTGCCCCTTTACTCCGCTCTCCTGAGACCCCACCTGGAGTCTTGCGTCCAGCTCTGGAGCCCCCAACATAGGAAGGACATGGATGTGTTGGAGC